AATCAGTTTCTCGATGCCCTAGAGGATTTCTGTCAATAATTTGTTAATAGCTGATTTAGCCATATTTCGGGAGTGGATTAATAACGATCAGCGGGCGACTACCACGCCGTTTTCAGTTGGAATAGAAAGTTTTTGCCTCAAGTATTTTAGCGATACAAAGTTTGTTTATAGGAAAATTGTAGAACTTCTTGTTTTTTGCCTGGACTAACATTGTAATGCATCTTTTACAGGAATTTGCTTTTGGCCAGAACTTAAATGTTCTAATGATTTTTAACTTTTGGTCGGCATCACATGTTTACTGTACTTCTTGGGCAACCTAACCGTTTGTTTCATCAAAATCGGTCACAAGATTGGACTTTAAATTCGGTCCTATTGAATGCAGTTTTGACTATGTCTCATTGATATTCACTTTTTTTTATTGTTCGAGACATACAGTGACTACCACCAACATCTCACTAGGTGACTAATCTACGTCTCGTGTGCTCTTAATTTTGTAGCTTTAAAGTGCTGGGAAAATTGTAGAACATATATTAATTCACTGCTGAACTGGACATCGGCTTTCGCGCACTTCGAACCCACTCGCTGAAATTTGCTATGTTTTTTTTTTAATATTTCTCTTCCTTTCCCATTTCAAAACAAAGAAAATTGAAAGTGTTTACTTGCATCAACAAATGTTTCTGCACTTTGTTTAGACTTTGATGAGGTCAGCGCAATCCTCCAGGCACTACATATACGCGCTTTTGTCCAGGTCAAGTGGGGAGATGAAATTTGATAGTAGCTCGTGTATGTTAAAGCCGGTCTACTTTGCTTTTGTTAAGACCATGTTAGAGTTTTTTTTTTGGCAAACTACACATTTTGTTAAATCACTAGCACATTCGCCAAGACCAACGAGCAAAATAATCGCTATGATAGCTTTGAGACGTGCCATTTTGATGAAGGCAAACCCTGTGGTGAGCCTCCATCCACATCGCTTCATCAGTGGTCGCGCATGCTCATGCAAAAAAGACCCCTGTTGTTTAACCCATG